CCCGGCTGCATTTCCGCTTCCTCCAAATTCCTTCTCCCGGCACGTCCGCGACGTCATCAAACATGTACAGCTTCTTCTTCTTTTTTTTTTTTTCAATTTTATTTTCTTTCTTGGTGAGAGCACGGGTGGCGCCAGCGCCGTGAAAGACGTGAGTGACGCGCTCGGCCGGCCCGGGGCTCGACTATTGATACTACTGAAGCTGCTTTTGTAAGAATTTTGAGTGACAGGTATAATCTATAATCTTCTATAATCTTCTGGGAGGAGAATAGCGACGCCTGTGCTAATCCAGGAGGCACAAAGGAGGATCCTGATAAGAGGAGAGCTCCTTCTTCCCCGTGTATATCACGTGGGTGTACATTCTTAGTGATGCCGAATATACAATGTTGTCCGGCTTTGCCACCGTTTCGGTTTCAGTTTGTGATCATGGATAGACTAAAATTACACGAAAAATATTTTATTTTTCGCGAAACAAAAGATTGGGGATTGTTTTCGAGTGCTTCAAAAAGCAAAATCGGCCACTATCTCAAAATTTTTGAAATTAAGCGGAGTTGCCCTTTAAAGGTTAGCTTAGGGACAAAGGGTGGAGCGATTTTTTAAGTTACGTCTGCTTAGTCCAAGAGTTCCAGATGAATCGGCGGTAATGACTTCAATGTGGTTATTCCAGGGAAGGTCAGATGTTAGTCTTACACCAAGGTATTTATACACAGTAGCGGTCTCAATCAGATCGGAGTCCAAGAAGTAATTAAATGACAGAGTGTTTTTTTTCTTGGTGAAGTGGATTAGTTTGCGTTTATACTTGTTTGGTGACATAATCCACTCTTTGCACCAATTGTTAATTTTATCTAGATCTTCCTGAAGCTGGTTATTATTTTGCACACAAGTTACTTTGTTATGGATGACGCAGTCGTCGGCGAAAAAGCGTTTTTTTGAAGAAATCCCAATGGGAATGTCATTAATAAATATTAAAAAGAGTAAGGGCCCAAGTACGAACCCCAGGGGAACACCAGGAGATACATTTATTAAGGAAGATTCATGATCATCATGGACGTGACCTGTACACGGGAAAAAAGAAAGTCACGAATCCATGCAAACGGTTATTGGTCGAGGCAAAAAGATGATAGATTAGAAAGAAGGCGTTGATGGAGGACACGGCCGAACGCTTTGGAAAAAAAACAAAAAAACTGCGTCAGTTTGGACGTGACATTCAAGGTTAGTGTGCAAGTCATGGATGAAGTCGCAGAGTTGCGTTTCGCAGGAAAGTACCTTTTGAAAACCGTGCTGCTGTTTAAAGAAAAGAAATGGGATGATAGGTGCCTCATGATATTGGAGTAGAGGATATGCTCAAGTAGTTTGCAAGAAATTGAAGTCAATGAATTAGGGCGATAATTAGATGCGGAAGAGCGGCTGCCCTGTTTAAAGACTGGGAATTACCCTTCCCACCTTTTGGTCAGATGGAAGGCAGCTTTGAGATGAGGACTGAATGAAGATGAGTTTCAAATACTCACTAGAAATAACACGGGTGTTTCTTTTAAATTTTAGGGTTGATGTTATCGGTTCCAGCGGACGAAGTAAGTTTTAGTTTATCAATCAATGTTTTAATACCAGCGGAGTTAACGTTAATAGGATGCATGCGCTCGTAAAGCTCTTCAGGGAGAGTGGGGACGAAGTCCAAGCACTCGTTAGTAAACACTGATGAAAAGTATTCGTTAAACACAGAACTATCATGCTCGACGTTGCACATCCGACATTCCTAACTCTCCCCCTCTTCCTAAACGTCCGTGTGTGTCCTAACACCAGAAACCGGAATTTTAAAGGTTAAAAACGGCACGTTGCGAATATGGAACGCGCACTTTCATGCAAAGCTGACGTCAAGTGACTCAAATCGAAAAACATGCATATTTACAGTATTGTTATCTCTTCTGGTGAAGGCTAAACAACCGTTGCATCTGTTTTCGCGCACGAAACGGTGCCTCCCAGAGAAAGTAAGAACGCAGTGATTGTCTTTATTTTAACAATGTAAACACACTTGCAGGCGTGCGCTGATGAAGCCTCAAAATCAAAACTCTCGTAGTGTGATTCGTGACTCCTCCGGCTACTACCCAACCTCGTTGTCACGCCACTTTCTGCAAGCAAACACTAAAATTGCCAGTAAACACACAAAAGCGACATCAATACAATTATCTTGTAGAATATCACCTTATTTAATCATAACTGTTTCAATAGGCACTACAAGTTGTATTTATTTTAAGAAGAAGAAGCAAAATTTTTTTCGTGAGAAAAAACAAAATATCAATGTTAAGTCTGGTAACGTTGTAATTTTGCCGAATCATTGCCACATCTTTAGAAAACTTCGACAAAAGTTGCGCCGAATTTTCGATTAAGGGGGGGGGGAAGAGGGTCGGGTTTGCCCCCCCACTCAAAAACAAGTTGGTACGCCACTGCGTAACCCAATATAAAAATTGAAGTTTTGTCCGACGTAATCCAATATAAAAATTTAAGTTACGTACGACGGAACTCAAAATAAAAGTTAGTTACGTCCTGTGTAACCTATGCGACCTACGTGTATGTTTCGCTTTACTGCCGATACATGACGTGAATACAAAAATATTGTAAATTATTACTGCATTACGTCCGATGCAGCATTTCTGAATCGGTTAAAATCTCAACTCTATCCGTACCTTCAGCTTTGTTGGGAGGGCTGGAGTGTGTTCCTCGCACAGTGAGGCTGCTGAACTTGGGTGGGTCCATCACATACATTTTTTTTCTTTCTCTTCTTTCCCCTGCTTTAAGACAATTTATTGAATTTTTTTTCAATATGAAAACACTTCTTGCTATCCTTGCCGCCTTTTTTACACCTGCTAGCCTTGCTGGCTCGGGCTGAGAGCAAAGTTGATATGGCTAAAGGCCGAGGGTCTATTGTCATTCTCACACCCGGGCGGCCCCCTCGAAACAGCTCTTTATTTAAGACACTCTGGAACAAAACGCTGCCAAAGCTAGTGCACATGGCGACTTAGCGGTATGTGAAGATTGTGCCAGTTTTTAAAATGTCTGCCGGAAACCCTGCTGCTGTAAACAGCACATTCATATCAGATTACCATTCTGTCTCCCTTAATTGCTTCGAATGTCTGCGATTCTCAGAAAGTGTCACAAGAAATAGTCTTAAAGGAGAAAAAATATAGCCTTAAAGGGGCCCTGCGATGACTTTTTTACTAATTTTTAATTTGCATCGAACCTGAGCGCACTGAACGTAGTAACTTAGTGAAACTTTTCTTTTCTCGAAATTCGCTTTATTTTAAAAGTTATAGACAAATTAAAATTACAAAAACAAGCAAGAAATAACCCCCCTCGTGACGTCCTTGGTTGCTTGAGAGTGGCCATGAACTCAAGCAGAAGTAGTGAGCTCATCGAGCGCTCATGGCTGCTGCACTCATGTCGACGGCGCGAGAGGGCGCCACTGAAGCGTGTTCTGGATAGGCTGTATGCAGCGGGCAGCCAGAGCGGCTCTCATTGCATTTGCTGCACAATTAAATACTAATTCGGCATGACACTTCATTGGCCACAAACGACAGCAAACACGGGGTAACGATCAGTTCATAATGGGAGCTACTTTTCGCTGCCATACCGCGAAACGGCCGAACCGCAAGACAAAGCTTCTCGCCGAAGGCCTTCGGAACGCTCGGAGCCGGTCGGATTTTCCTGCCCATACGACTGCAGCGCCGCCGCGTACGTCCGAGACCTTTCCGTGTCAGCGCCTGATCCCACTACTCCTTTCTAGTATGCGCCGCCTTTTCCACCGCTTGGTGGCAGGTATGTCGACGGGTCATTTCTTGTTTCCGTACTTTATGAACTGCATTCGTTTCTTTTTTGATCTAAAATACTGAACAAAAACTACTTTTATAAATAATTGAAACGGTTCACGGCCACTTATATTTTGTATTTCGACTAAAAAGAAGCTTTTAGCTGCTCTGACCAGTAGTAAGCCCAGTACCAAAGACGTCACATTTTGCGCGTTTTCGGTACCGCGGGTCGCCCTCGTCGGTGGAGGAGGTTTCCGCGTCGTCCAGTTAAAATATGACGCACTGATATTTCGTTACTCTCTCCGTGCCCGCTGGCTTGCCCGAACCCCAAGAGACGTGAAAACCGCAAAAGAGGTAGACGCTCAAATATGATTGCAGGGCCCCTTTAAAGGGATGCCGAACCGAAATGAAACACGGCGGCCATGAAACACGGCGGCCAAAGCGTGCAACAGGAGGCTACAAACACCAAAACATCACTCATACAGCGATATCTCGAATAAATGACCATATTTTCTAAAAAGAAAAAGGGACATTTGACAGATATGTCGGTGCCTATTTCTCCAAGAACAGTCGCAAAGGAGAAGGAACGGCATCGCGTCTCCTCCATTTTTCTGCCTTGAGGGGGCGAAGCGAAGAGAGGAGGAAACTAGCTCTGTTGACGTCACGTGCCTCGTAGCCTCGTTCAATCTCAACCTCTTTTTTACGCAAATAGGGCCGTCCATTCGAGATATCGCCTTACAAGTAGTGTTGTAGGGATTGCAGCGTCCCGCCTGCAGCTGCTGCATTGTTTTCTGAAATCCAAATTTCGGTTCACCATCCCTTTAAAGGAAAAACACAAGAAAAAAAAATTAATATGACAGGCATCTGTGCCTGGTGGTACAGACGTAGACGCGATTTTAACCAATTAATGAATGCTGCGTCCAACGTAATGTAGTAACAACTCACGATATGTTTGTGTTTACGTCATGTATCGGCCGTAAAGCGTAAAATTCAATAAGGTTACGTAGGTGACACAGGACGTAACTTCAACTTTTCTTTCCGTCGGACTTAACTTTTATTTTCATTTCGAATTCCGTCGGACGTAACTCGAAACCTTGGGGTAAAGTTACGTCGGACGTAACTGTAGTTGTTATTTCGAGTTCCGTCGGATGTAACGCTAGACACAGCGTGTTTTATTCCTGTGAGCAGGCATCGGAGCCTCACCTGTATTCGGCCAGTTTTTCCGGAATCGGGGAGCGGTGCCTTCTCGGGGCACTCGTTTTCTCAGTTGATGCATCGATGGCTGGGGATGTCTGAACCGAAAGGCACCTGGAAAGGCCTTGGAAAAGGATAAAAAAGGGACTAACGTTTGAATCTTGCATGTGCTCGAGGCCTGGTAAGTGGCAAAAGAGAACGCGGAACTCTTTTTCGCGTACAAGCAAACGACAGAAACTAATTTCAGTTGTAACAATCATACATATTTTCATCGTTTTTATGTGTAACCAATTTTATGAGCTCTAATTTGGCAGGTAACTTACCTTTATGTAGGTAAGCACGCTTGCAGAAGCTAACAAGCGAGCGGGAGGACGCCATTTTGAAAGTTAAACCAGTGTTGCCAGACGAAGAAAAAAAAAGTCAGCAGATTAATCTCCAAAAAGTCTGTAGATTTCAACGAGGTTGGTAGATTTGCACGAAAATCAGTAGATTCTACGAAATTTGTGTTTTGGCATCCTTTGCCATTACCATTAAACCATTTTTCGAAGAAATACTATAGAGCAAAAAATAACATGGTAATAAACACAAATAAAATACGAAAAAACAAGAACAGTTCTCGAGTAATTCTTTATAAAAAAAACAAAGTAAAATGGCACCGTGAATATATATATATATTATCAGCATTGACTAGTGTTGCGATTTCGAGGATTATTCGTTGAAATCGAGACTGAGCCACTTTTGGGATCAACAGATGAGGGCGACCGTGGGACATCCACCTGACGGTTTTAGTGAAACGAAACCAAAACAAGACGTTCAAGCAAGTGCGCGCGTGTATGTTCATTTTATGTCCTCTGCAAGCTGCCATTTTTCCTTACTGGGCTGTGGAAGGTTTTTGACGCAACGCTGTCGGCGCGGAGCACTGCCGAGGCTACGCGTCGTCTGCTGCGGGCTTATATCTTTTTCGCCTGACTCAAAGTTTGCGTTCGCATCTGGAGAAACTTAATTCGTTAGCTTTTTAAGCCACCGAGGAATAGCATTATATTATTTTCTTGCCAAAGCCTGGCAAATAAAAGTTAACAACCGAAATTTGGATGTCGATCCCATGCATACTGCCGGGCGAATGAATGAAAATGGCGGCACTGCCCGCTCAGCTGGAAGCAGCCGAGAGTTCATGCGCATGCGCTCACACCTCTCGCTTTGCGCCGCAGGCTGATTGGCTCGGAGGGAGACGTTACGGCGGCGAGATCATAGACTGGCCCAGGGTGTAAGATAGACAGGTGGGGAAACGAGAGCCAAATGAGCGACCGGATTGTGTCCCCCTTGGTTTTCTCTTTTTCTGTGGCGCCATCTATGTGGAGCACCGCGAACTCTCACTCCAGGTGGGCGACTGGTAGCGACAAGCTAAACTGACGGAGATGGTTTTTCGTGGATTTTTAATGGAGGACTGTCGTGCTCTCGGTTTATTTTGTGCACTCTCCCATACAGTTCCATGAAAATCCTATTCCAAGTTTTTTTCCTCTCACCGCAGCGCCATCTGTCGTAAACCGGGCGTACCCGCAAGCAGACGAGTACACAATCCGGTCGCGGCACTGCGGTAGGCTTCTATGAGTCGTTTCCCCACCTGTCTATCTTACACCCTGGACTGGCCAAACTCTCCCCCTATATGGCTCTGGCCCGGATGTCACCGCCGAACCCAACGTTGGTCGAACCCACTGATCTCAATGACAATTGCTGGATCGCGCTTGCCGCTCCCGCAAGTGAAGCCACCGGACGCAACCCCGCTGGGATACGATTTCCCGTTTTGCTAGCCTTTTGCTGCGGTTTTCCAGCGTGCTGTAGACACGTTTTCTACTCGTTCGTCGTCATTCGCCGAGGAAGTTTTTTGAGACTCTGTGTATTGTTGAGACTTGCCGTTGTAAACACGTGGAAAATTTTACGAAAGTGCAGTGTCGCAGGAAAAAGGCACAACGCGTCGAAAGGAAGGGCTGGCGGCGTGTTCAAAGCTTCCTTGGCACGTCGAAGTGCCGTGTCTCTGTGCCTTCGCGCGCTTGGATACCGACCAAGAACCGACGCCGTGCGAATGTGTTTAGCGAGTGCAATGTGCGTGAAGCCGTATCAAAAGGTACAACTCGTCGAAAACGTGTCGCCGGTGTCGCGGCGTGATCAAAGCTTCCTTGGCACGCCGAGTGATGCATCTTCGTGCCTTCGCACGCTTGGATACCGGTCAAAAATTGACGCCACGCCAAAGTTCTGAACGTGTGTCGCGCGTAGATGCCTTTAGATCATTTATATATATCGGCCACGGAGTTCTGGATCGTCCAGCTGTTCCGGTGAGTTGCTATCAATAAAAGGGGGAGATCTGTACGTGTTCTTATGTACTATATTAACCATGGCTATGTCCCAAATCTACTCTAATAGATTCCGTGGGAGCACGAATAGGGCAACGTTGTGGAGCCAGGGGGGTTTTCGAAAGCAAAAGTACAAGACGGCGAGAATGAAAATCTTTGAAGCGCGGCCGATATGGTCGTGTGCAATCTGTTGACCAATTACAATTAGGCGAGCCGCGCTCAAACGTCAAGTGCAATTAAGTAGGTTGATCATAAGCCAGCACTGATCAGTGATGAGGAGCTGTTGTGCACGGTTTTGTGTAAATCGTCTAAGGACGAAAAAAAGACGTACCTTCCCCCCATCTTCCGTCGCTAGTGGACGCTGGATTAAGCTCGTTCCTAAACCGCGAGGGGAAAAGACGCTGATCCAGAGGCACGAACAGCTTGACGCACATTGCACTCGCTAAACACATACACACGGCGTCGGTTCTTGGTCGGTATCCAAGCGTGCGAAGGCACAGAGACACGGCACTTCGGCGTGCCAAGGAAGCTTTAAACACGCCGCCAGCCCTTCCTTTCGACGCGTTGTGCCTTTTTCCTGCGACACTGCACTTTCGTAAAATTTTCCGCGTGTTCACAACGGCAAGTCTCAACAATACACAGAGTCTTCAAGAAACTTCTTCGGCGAATGACGACGAACGAGTAGAAAACGTGTCTACAGCACGCTGGAAAACCGCAGCAAAGGCTAGCAAAAACGGCAAATCGTATCCCAAGCGAGTGAAGTCCGGTGGCTTCACTTGCGCTGCAGCGAACAAGCGGGAAAGCGCGATCCAGCAATTGTCATAGAGATCAGTGGTCGAACCTGCTCTGTATGAATAGATATGAATATACGGTTAAATCGCTCGAACAGGTTGGGTTTCTGGGCCGTCCAGCCAGTGCTTCGTTTTTAATTGTGGGATAATATGAGTTTCCTTTGATGGGCGACCCTGGGAACTGAGGGGGCCTAATAATAAATTTTTAATATGTTTACTAAAAAAAGTCAGTAGATTTTCTTCTTTTTCAGTGAATCAGTAGACCCGGAACGAAATCAGTAGATCTACTGATAAATCAGTAGACCTGGCAACACTGAGTTAAACAACTACAAACAAAAAAAAAAAAACTAAAAGAATTCAAGCAAATGTAGAGGGGACAACATAACAAAGCATAATTTTTTAATGCAGGGTGATTTCAGATAAGATCGACCAAAGGATGGCTAGTCGACATTTTCAAATCAACTGATGTTTTTATATGTTATTGTCTAGTGTCTGGTATGAACGAATCCAAACTTAGTTTTGACTAGAAAAAATACTTGGAGACAGGAAAAATCGTAAGGCATGAGGTGGTGGACAGTTGCATTAACGCGCACTGATGGAGGGGGCCCGTTTGAGAGTGAATAACTAAAGCGATAACATTAGGAGAACTCTAATACGTTTTAGGCGCAAACTATGGGTATAGCTTGCTTGTAATATAAAGTAATCATTTTTATTTAAAATTTATTTATTTTTCTAAAAATTGACAAACATGCCTGCTCGAACGACAAATGGCAAACTTTGGAGGTCTGTATCTCATGAAATAATTTAATCATTATGATATAATTTGCAGATATTATTCTACTAATATATAGCCAATATTTAAAAAATAACTAAGGTATCTGTGTGATACAATAGTTAGGATATATTTAGTCAAACATGGAAAAAAAATCAAACAAAGAAAATTTCCGATGCGAATAAAAAAAAAACACCACCCTCGATTTTTTTTAAATTTAGGTAACCTGTTATACTCTATTTCGGCATTCATTTCCATTAAAACATGTTGCATCATTTTATTGAGAAAGAAGATACAACTCCCCAAAGTAGGGTCCTTTTTCAAAGCCTACACATAGCAGTGTTTTATACAAGAACTGACTCTGAGTTCCAGTTTCATGAAACCAACACACATCTTTTATATATTTTTATTCAGATGAGGCCAATGATAACTAAAGAAATCGTTCACACACTTAAATTAAGGAGAAACTACTGTGTACAAATAGGTATCATATTACGGACTAGTGATCCGAGAAAAGATCATGCAGCCATCGGCCACTAGGAACTTTGTTTACTTTATTCTCCTGCGACACTATATGCTTTTCCCTCTTCCGCTCTACCTTCATCTCTCTCTCTCTCTCATATATATCCCTGATATATATCCAGAACAAAAACATGTTCAAGCATTCCCTTTCTGCGTGGTAGTGTTCTGTGGCTAGCAAAAATCATTTCCTCGCTAAGCTCACGATTATGGCAAAATAGTTGCCGGAAACCGCAGACGACACTCGTCGCTAGTTCTGGCAAAACGGCCGATACAATCTTTTTTTCGCATTTCCCCGCTCGCTGTCAAGGACAAGGGGGTTCGCTTCAACCAGCAAAACATGGCCGCCGACGCTTGTTTACTGAGCAGTCATGCCTGTCGCCATCTCACTCGCTGGCGTCAGGGGCGATAATATCAGGCACAAAGGGGCACACCAACCGGCAGCATTATCCCCAAATACTCGAGCCTCGCGTAAATACATAGAGTGTAAACGCTGTCGCCATGTTATCGTAGTAAGACCGCCCCCCCCCCCCCCCCTCCCCCAACGGGGGACGGCAGTACGCGACGGCGTACTAACTCAACGGCGACGATATCGACATCGCGGGCTCCGAATTTTCCCATAGTTCTACTCCACGGGCATTTCTCGAAACGCTTGATATTGTGTACGCCCGCCTGGAAGGATTTCAGGCGCGTAGTTAAGATAAGGCGGTTCTTCGCGGCAAAAGAAAGCAATTTCACAAAAGCTTAAAAGCGGCGGCGACGCGTGTGCGGTGAACGCTTGTAGTTTTGGTGTAGACAGGGTGTGTGTGTTCTCGTTGTTGACACCAGCCGGCGATAAGGCACTGCAGGCGGTAGCTCAGTACAGCAAGGGCTAATCCGAGTGACCATCAACGTAACCCCACCGCCAACCCCTCGCGAACCGGTCGCCGACATGGCTCAGGCTGTGTCATGAACCAC